ACAAAAATTGAATTGTTTAATGAACTTAGTGGGGCTGGACCCTTGTCAGAGAGGTCACAAACAACTGTCTATTTATCCTCTGGATACCAGTATCTCCATACTACTAGGACCTTACTACAAGCCCCCACAATTGAGGCATCTAGCAAAGTTTTAGGTTTACATATATGTACTAGATCAGCTGGGGAGGCTGACTAGCACTTTCTGATAATGAACAGTGATACAAAAAATGCTGCAGGCAAGACAGGAAGACTTGATTAGGGGACACAGAGAAAAATAAGTCATATTCAGTAGCTTGTAAAGATGTCTGCCAACAGGAAAGAAGAAGCAGATAAAGCAGACAGCAGCAGACAGATAGCATGAACAAAGAGAAACAAAAAACCACAAAAGAAATAAGATAACACAACAGTAAAGGAATTAATTAACTCAGAAAGAAGGCTAAAATCTTATCATCCAAGTCATACAACCAAAACACTACAATTAATATATCAGATTAATCTCAGAGAAAATTCATTTTAGAAGCATAAATGATGGTGCAGGGTTCTTGAAACAAGGAAGTCTAATGATGGGAGGAAAACTTTGGGAACATAAAGCAGAGCAGTGCAAGGATCAGCCTGGGGAAGCCAGACCAGAAGACCAGTGTGCCTAGCAGGGGTTGCTGACTCCCAGCAGCTGCTCAGCTTTGTGCTGGAGAGGACTCCTGGCAACACACTTGTGACTACACCATCAAATGTGTGTGAGTAGCTGAATCAATCACACTTTCAGGTGACCAGAAGTAAAACATGGTTGCGTTTTGCTACAGGTCAATATTATGGACTCCCTGAAGGGAGACCCTGTAGTCCCACCTGCCTCCTAAAGCAGGTTCACCTAGAACAGGTTGCACAGGATTGCACCCATACAGGTTTTGAATGTCTCCAGAGACCACTTCACAACTTCTCTGGATAGCCTGTTCCAGTGCTCTGTCATCCTCAAAGGAAAGATTTTTTTTCTTGAAATTCAGTGGAAATTCCTGTGCTTCAGTTTGTGCCCTTTGATCCTTACCCTGTTTCTAGGCACAAATGAACAGTCTGCCCCAGCCTCTCAACACCCACCCTTAAAATAATATAGTGCAGAGATAGGATTCAGTGACCAAACAAGTTGGTTTTGCAAATAAATTCTTTCTTCATTCCTATAGTTTTAAGTCATTGCTTAATTTACCTTTCTACAGTATCAATGGATATTTTTTCACTTTGTTACTGTTTAGTGGCTCCAAAGCAAAAAAGCAACCTACCATGACCTGATGAATAATTTTGCAAGCAGTATAAAAGTGGTGGTAAAGAAATACAAATAATACTATACCCGCAGTTAGAAAAATATTTGAAAGTACAGTGGTGTTTTCAGACATGGTTTTGCATAAAAACACTCTATGGTCCAGCTGAACAGCAAAACTCCATCTGCTTCAAAGACAGCCAGCATTTCACCTCATGAATCCAGCAGCTGGATTCTGTTCCTGTGTACATATATAGGAATAAACTTTTGTCTATATGATACTCAGGGAAAAAGAATGTGCTCTGAATACTTGTGTTCAAATATTTTGCATGACTATTAGCAGTATAAAGTGTTCATGCAGTCAGCCTAAACATTAGTGGGTTTAGCAAGAAAGCAGATGGACCTGTTGTATGAGACTTAGGTACCAAAGCACAAATTATGAAAATCTTGAACAAAAGTGCATTTGAATAAACTACACACAGAATAATTTAAATCATTAGCAACTTATTATTTGCTTTTGTAAGCTAAACTAAGTTCATTACAATTAAGAAAAAAGGTAAACATAATCACCTCAAACTATTTCTACCATAGTTCTCATGGCAATATCATTTTTATTAAACCTCAAACTTCATTATGTCCACAAACAAGAAAACAACCAAGACTACATGTGCAAGTTCTACAAAACCATGTCAGATGAGAGAAACAGCAAGGGCAAAGAGAACTGATGTTTGCTGCTGTATTCCCAACCAGCCTTGGCCTGTGAGAACGCTAACACAAGTGACAAAACTCTCAAACACTCAGGTTTGGTGAGAGTGAAGCTCATAGAGGAAACAGCTGTGTGGCAATGACCTACTGTATTGACATGTATAACCCAAATTCATTTTAGAGTTCTTAGCCCTTAATAGATAGCAACAGGATATGTCACAGTGACCACACGTGTCAATCTAATTGCCTTGCAGGCAGGATGAGAAAACCTGGGACCCACAGTGCAGCAAATGTAAAACACCAAAGCAAGCAGTGCAAAAGGCACTGCTTTCAGCAGACGAGAGCCAAAATTAAGCAGATGATGAATTCATATGTTCCATTGTCTTTTGCAGATAGGGACCTATACTTTTTCCCTCAAAAATCAGTGCTGCCTTATATGTAATGATATATATAACATAAGCATACAAGAAATATGTTAGTCAGATTTTACTCTCAGTTGGAAACTCAGACTAGGTATTCACTACATTTTAATTGAAAAACCTTTTATCTGACCATTTTTATAGTTACACAGTCCCAATATACAGCGTTGCATACAACAGTCACGTAGAGTTATCACATGGATTAATGTGTTTGCTAACAAAAGGTCTGTTGAAATCAGCACTTGCAAATGTTCAAGCTTTGGGACAGCACAACCCATAGTGCAGAACTTGCATCTGCTCAGCAAACCTGAAGAGACATTAACTCTAACAGCTCCATCAGATCTCTGCTTAAAACTACTGTTTAAATAACCTACACATACTTCTGAGGCTACCCAGGTGGCATGGATCTCCATGACTGATGAAGAAAACAGCATTAACACTTTTAGGCTGATCCTTTGAAGCTTACTAGTGAGAAAAGCATTAAAATAATGTCATATTCATAAATACCCATCCACCTTACAGTCCAAACCCCTTTGCAGAAAGATCTCATGAAACTTGCTTAGAAGGTGAATAAAATAGCATCTTTCAAAAAATGGGCCAGGAAGAAAATTGAGTAAAGGTCTGCCACTAAGCTTTAATGGGAATGTCAGACTTAGAAGGAGGTAACACAGAAAGGCCTCAGAAATTAGTAACTTTTTGAATGTTTGGCACTTCTATAAATCCAGGTGGCTGGGGGAAGTTCCAATACCACCATGTGCACAGCCTGCTCTTACTCTTTATTGGTCATCTTCTAAAACTGCTCAGCAGACTCCACTGAGAACATAGATAGAGAAGGATGTCATGGCTGGTAGGTTGATTTTGGGAAGTTGGTTCGCTTTTTGTTCTTTTGAAAAACAGTCTCTGAAATGGCAGGTATTGTGAAACCAATGAAATGGCAAATTGGTATCACAGTCTGTGTCCATCCAGGCTGTTATTTTACTCACTGGAAGTTCAGCAGAGTTCAGGACTACATGCCTTGGAAGACCAGTTGGTCTCACACTTATTACTAACAGCTCCCAAGTGGTTTAAATACTGAAGGCAAGATGCTTTATATCTTTCTCCACACTTTTATAAGTAAACAAGAAACAATTCTCAGCAGCCAACATAACCTTTTGCCTTTTTCATGGAAAACAGTATTTGCTAATCTAATCTACTTTCCATTGACTATCCATTATGGAACAGCATTAAAAAACAAGCAAAGAATATTTGCTACTAAAAAAAAGGAAACAAGCAGGAATTTCATTGTGTTGAAAAATTATTATCTTCAAACTTATATTATCTTCATACTACATGCTAGAAATAGGCTGTTCATCACTTGTGGTTATCAAGAGATGAACAGTTTGCTCCTTTATTTACATTTCTGTATAGGATGTCTGATACCACCAATGCATCATCTCTGGGAGACAGGGAGATGTGACACAGAAAACTCCAAGGGAAAAGTTAAGTGGCATGACCAAAATCTCATGTGTAAATATGTGGCAAGGTTTAAAAAGGAAACCAAATGTTCAGAATCCCAACCCTATGCTTTAACCACAAAACCAACTTTCTTCACTAAAATGGAATTAACACAGTAACTAAAAACAAAGAAAAAACAAGTACATATATGTGCATCTTGCCACTGTAACAACTAACAACTCTAAGGACATTTAAGTATTCTCAAACTAACTAAGATACAATTAAAAATATATGTTTAATTCCAGGGTGGTAATCAGTTCCACAAACCAAGAGCACTAGAAAAGTAAGAGGAAGTAGCCTCACAGCTTGCCGAAGCTGTGTAAACCACACATGCAGGCATAATGTACTGACTGAAGAGCTACAGAAATATATGCTGCTGACAAGAAGGGACTCAGTACTCATGTACAAAACATGAAAAATGTTTTCAACTACAACAGAAAGCCTAGTTGAAAACCAAGCAGAAGTGTTTCTAAAAGTTAATTAGGACTCAAAAATAATCCCCTTACAAAAGAAAAAACCCTAATCAGTCTAAAAAATATTGTGGCATCCTACTTCAGATAATCAATTTTTTTTTAATCACAATGAATTTGGGCTAGATAGGGGCTAGGAAGAAGCTATTTTGCAGAAGAGAAAAGCACAAGTACTGTTCACTGAGAAGCTGTTTTTCTGGTTCAGCAGTTCTGCAGCAAGAATAACCAGATCATTTGAAAATTGAAAAGAAAATCAATTGCATGTTTTTATTTTAAAAGAGACTCCCTGTGGGAATAGGTGTGGGCGTGAGATCTCTTTTTAAATTTCATAATATAACATAATGCTGCCAAGATTTTTTTTTTTTAATACTCTGTTTACTGGGTGCCAGAATGATTTTTCTCTCCTTATGATTCTACTGATGCTTATCAAAATTAATCTGTGAAGTGAGTAACAATAACATTTAAAAACAGAATATTTATTCAGACAGCAGCACTGAGCAAAACAAATTTTCAAGGCTGCTATGGGAGTTCAGTGATGACAGCAAAAGTCTATTTACTCATTTACCCCTGAGTTCTGCATGCAGAAAGTTTGTATCAAAGTTTTTTTTAAAGCAAATATTTTTTTTATATATATAATTGAGTTCCACAGGTAAAGTTTACAACTAACCTTGCTATCTTCGATCTCCTGGGTTTTTCCTTGAAGCGTTTTCCTCTCTCCAAAATCACAGGTTGACTTTAACGTAAGCTGACAAGAAAGCATCGAGCTCTCTGCCCCAGTAAGCTCCAAGGACTTTGGTGAGTACTTCTGTGAGCCGGCGGGGCCAAGGCTGGGTATCGGGAGGGCAGTGTGGACAGGCTTTGACCCTACGGCTGGCTGCCTCAGCTTGGAGGCAACCCCAAGCACAGGCATGGCTTCTATAAAAGTATCTTCCTTCTGCCAAAGAAAATGCTCCTGACCTCAGTCTGGTAGGCTCCAGCTTCAGCAATTTCAGAGCAAATGCTTTAAACAAAAGTAGCAGTCATCTTTCCAAAAAGTCTTAAAACAATAATATTGCGAGTTTCACAAGGAAGCAAAATCTTTCCTTCATCTCTCCCCTCTCCCTCGCAGCCACTCACACGCACTGCTCAGTGAGTCAGTGGCTCTGTAAGACTAAACGCTCCTCTGGGGTGTGAACTTTTCTTGAAGGTAACTGCCACAGAGCTGCCTGTCTGGGATTAAAGAACTCATAAACTCGCTTTCTCTTCTTCCTACAGCATTCCAGGTCTGTGCGTTAAGTGAATGAAGGATGGGAGAAAAGGAGAGAGAGAGAAGAGAGGAAACCTCCCCGTACTCCAACTGTCAAAACAGCTCAGAGACCACAACACTGGAAGCAGAGACCTCTTCCTGACTACATAAATAACCAGCCCACATCTCAAAAAAAAACAAACCTCTTTTTTTTTTTTTTCTGTTTAAGGGAAAAAAAAGGACCTGAGTAGTGGCCAAAGCAAACAGCTGTTGGACGAGTTTTCATCCCGGAAATAATCTCAGCAATGAAGCTGTTTGTCTGATTCCTGGCTATTTTTCACTGCTGACAACCATGAGCTACGGTGTTTCATTCTCTGCTCCTCCCGTGAAATCAGGTTAAAATCGTGCAAGAGCGTGGCTAGAAGCAGACACTGAATCACACTGCGGGTAACGTCTGTCTGTGCTATGAAAAATCCATACAAAAACAGAGCAGGATATAGGAGAATTTCAAGCATTGTTCGAAGATTTAGTCAATACAGCTTTCAGAGCTCTTTTTATTTTTTTCTTTCTTGGCGGTGGTGTTAACGTCATCTATTCAGCATTAACACTTCCCTTTCTAAAAACATTGAAAGCTCCATGAAGTCCATGTCCAACACATCGTTTCTGCTTGTTGCTCACAGAAATATTCTTTCTGGCAACCTCAAATCCTTGCACATAGAAATACAAGTCAGGCAGGCAGAGCAGGCTCCAAAATGAGTCATGATGGACAGTCCAAATTGTTGAGCAGCATAAACACTTACTTAAAAGAACAACTGTAAATTCCTTTGAGATTCTGTAGCAGGGGAAACCCTTTTAAACTGACATGAGGAAAAAACCTGTGCAGAAACATCACACCATTCAACTCCTATGGGATTTTATCACCCAGCATTATAGACACTAGGTTTTTTGTTATGTCTTTCAAAATAAAACATAAGATGACTTGACTTATTCTGCCCCAATATACTACATAGTATTAACTACACCTTCCTTGAACAGTATGTACTATTACCACCACAGATTAAAAGCACAAGAGAAAATAAGAGCCCTCTGGACTTTTGTGTTCTCAAAACAAGGATGGCAAAAGTTTAAAAAAGCATTGAAAAGAAAGTAAATGAGAAGCAGACTAAAAAGATCTTAAATCATGCTTTAAAATTATTTAGCAGAATAAATGTGTGATGCCTGCACTATTGTCCTCTATCATTCATTTACAAAGATCACACTGCCACAGTAAATAAATTCAGCTCTCTGTATTGACTTACAAATTACTCCATTCTTGCTTATGGTTTGTAGGAGTGAATTTAACCTGTTGTAGTAATTTCCTGAGTTTTGAAGTGAGAATACAGAGAATCAGCAAACACATTTCAGCATCCTCTGTTTATCTGCCATTTGCTTTTGCCACCATTAACAACAGATGCAATGAGTTTTGTGCAAGAATGCACAGAGGTAGCTGCTCTGCATTTTAGAAAACTTCAGCCCACAGCATACATCAATTTGCTCCAGTGACTGGAATATTTTTGTTGAGTGTGATACTTCAGATCTTCTGCAGAGCAAAGGGGAAGAAAGCTCCTTGCACAGTCTGTATTTGTTTTCCAGCATTATAAAGCACTGAGGCTGTGTAAGGAATTTAGATTTCTTAGGCACAACTGTTAACAGTTAACACTTCAGAAAATGCACATATGCAAAGACTGAAGTGGACCACAGGAAAAGAGGGATTTTTCTCTTGCAAGGTTTGAGAAGATGAAAAATCCTCATGAGAACTGTAACCCAATGATCAAGACAAAGAATAAACTACAGCCATGAGACAGATACTTTCTTAAAAAGAACTTTGCCAAAAAATGTAATTGAATCTTATTACTTCCCGGGGTTATAATTTTACAAAGTAATGCACTTTGGTAATCTTGCTGATCTTCTTTTGAATATGAATGATGAGGTCATGATACCCACAGTCTCTTTTGCAACCCATTTTCCCAGCACAGAAACCCTAAACTTAAAGTAATAAGTAAGCAAACTTACTAGGAGTCATCTGTAATACATAACCAACAGGATTTGGAAACAATGATGTGAGGCTGGTGTTACTGCTACTCTTTCGAAATAATTTTTCATTATATGTTGACTTTAAAGTTAGTACCAGGTCAGGGCCATCAGCTTCAGAACCCCAACTACCTAGAGTTTGTACAATAATAAATCACAGAAGTGCTTCTGATCTATTGAAGATGCAAAGAAGGGTATGTAAGATTCTTTGCAGGAATCATGAAAAATAATTGAGAAAAACAATTTTACTCTGTAAGTAAGAATGCAGCTACAAGCCTAGTCTTCCTTTTCTTGTTTTCTCTAATTCTAAGCAAAAGATAAATAAACAAACATCTGCTACTCTTTGAAATCACTTAACTACAATTTTTACTTGAAAGCCCTTGTGTACCTCATGGTGAATGTAGGTCTTATGAAGGCTGTCTTGGGGGAAAGAATATTTAACAACTAAGCTTCAGCTTTGTTTTCCACACAAACAGGGAGGTACAGGATAAAGCATCTGTGGACAACATACACAAACTGTCACCACCAAATGCAGGTGCTGGTGGGATGACCCTGCAGGCAGAAGGTGTCCAAAGATTCTGTAAGGGAAGGAATTGTGGGGAAAGGGCAAAGTTGGAAGCTGCAAAGAAGGGCACATTGTCAGGCAACAAGCTGACCATGTGAGTTTGGTAGTATTTTCCTCAGTATCTCTGTAGTGGAAAGCTAAGTGACTGTCAAGCAAGGCAGACAGGGAGAACCTAAAGTCAAAGTGAGGATGATTTAGATATGTGTGAATAATTTCCAAACAGAAAAAAAGGCGTATCTGTGAGAAATAGGGGTGGAGAAGGCTATAACCTGGAGTTATATGAAATCAAACACAACACTCTGGCATGAGGGACAAAAGTATTCCAGTCAAGATAGAGAAAGCAGTGAGTAAAAAGATATGACTGACATTAATAAGGGACACACATATTCACTTGGTTACATTAAACTGATATATCTAGAAAGGGGCTGCAGAGAAACAGGTCAGGCTAAGCAATGTTCAGAGAGGAACTGTAGGTTTGTAATTTATCCTCTTGGACTTTAGAGTAGATATACTCCAGCCAGACAGGTAGGGGACATCATCTGGGTTCAGGAGGATGACCACAGATCATGACTGAAGTCCTGACACAAGGGAAATGATGTGCAGAAAAGGTTGAAGAGTTATGAGGAAAAAATAGAGGGCAACATTTCAAATGAGATGCTAGGTAAGAAGATAAAAATGCAAAGAGGAACCAAAAAATAGAAGAACAGAGCAAAGGTCAAAACACAATCTTTAGTAGCTTTGTAGTGGCAGTTCCAGTGATATTTTGAAGGTAAGGCCATTGTTTTAGCTGATAAAATAGTGACAACCTGGCTGTAAAGCATGACTGTGAAAGTGTCACACATTTTTACAGAAATTATAGATTATATCAATGATCTGTACCTCAAAGTAACACAGCATGTATGCATTCCATATAATAGTCCCCACATCAAAAAAAAATGCAATATTTATTTCAAATAGCAGGAGATAACACACCTGAAGTCTCAAACACTTCATAAAAGAAGGTATCAGTCACTTGCAATGTTATGGTGAATTTTTGTTCTCAAGACTGAACAGAAATAACTGCACAACACCCCAGCATATATTTCCTTGCCTTCATTGAGCCTGATACCAGTACAAATCCCTTGAAGGTTGCTCCCCTTCTGCACCCCCAGCCCTCAGACAAACTGTTCACATGAACCAAACAGACAGCTGGCAGTGTGTCCCAGAGCACAGGAAATATCAAGAGAGGGGACACCTGCCTCAAAAGTGGAGCCAAGATATTTGTTTGCTCCTTCTGCTCTATGATCTTCAACAAGGAAGCTGTTGCATGTGTAGAGGGTCAAACAGGAAATGTCAGGGGTCCAGAGACTGCAGAGCTCTGTTCTGAGCTGTTTCCCCACTTCATCCCACTGGTGTAGCAGCTGTGTATAGAGTTTACATGAGCCAGGCCAACTTCAGAATGAGCTGATACAATCTCAAGATTTTGTGCTCACTGGTTTTAGGTTGAGCAGAAAGTTTTCCCCAGCTGGGGATGGACAACTCTTGAAAAAGCAACCAATGGTTCTAAAATAATGAACGTACCTGAAGCAAGATGATTTATTTATTTACTCCAGATAAGACAGGATTGAGCTTTAAAAATGTAAATAAGACACTGTTTGGTGTAACAAAATATGTTCAACCTGTCAGATACTGATGAGACAAATCCTTCAGCTCCGGCTCATGTTCCCAGCATAATTCTATGGACAATATTTTTGTTATTAAAAAAATCAGGTGAAACCATTAGTCTCAAGGCAAGACATTTAACAAGTATTTAATCCTATCTGCAAGTATGTAATGCTACTGAGCAAGTTGCTGTTGCTGTTCTTAACACTTTTGTATTTCAAAAGATATATAATCCAAAGCCCAGTTACAGTCACAGAAAAAGGTGCATCCGGCTTCCTAAAGGAAATCCTTCTACTTCGGCTGAATGTTTGGGGAAGTTTTCAAAGAGAACAACTTTTAAATAAGGATACAGTTTTATCATCTGAACAATTTGGCCTTTCAAAACTCAGACAGGAGTTTAAGGGTTTGA